GAAATGAGGCGGCTGTCAAAGCAAGGGAGTGCGCCCCACGTGGCTTGTTCAAATAGAAGAAGAATTAACAGGAGAGGAATTTGGCTGTTTAAAAAGCCCTGTATGGAAGCCTCTCCTGTTCCATTTGCTGTTTGAACACGACACAAGGGGTGCGCTCCCTTGTCTTTCACAGCTGCCTCGTTTCCAATGGGAGGGGGGTCCATGGATCCATGGAGATGGATGGAAAATATGGATTTCTTCCTCCCCCCCCATTGGAAACGAGGCGGCTGTCAAAGCAAGGGAGTGCGCCCCACGTGGCTTGTTCAAATAGAAGAGGAATTAACAGGAGGGGAGGATTCATTGGACAAGCTAATGAGCATGCGCTGCTCTCTCCTCTGACAGCCACCTCGTTTCCAATGAAGGGGGTGGAGAATCATGCGATTTCCTACCTCTGCATGGATTCCCCTCCCTCCCTCTGTGTGCCAAAACCTCCCAGAAGGCTCCTGCTGGCAGGCGAGCGGGAGGGAGGGGCAGGCCAGGGGAGGGACCGTTCTGGTTCCTGGCCCCTGGAAGCCCCGGTATGGGAAGGCACGCTAAATTCTTTCAACCGTCCGTTTCCCTGTGCTCAGAAAAGCAACTCTGGGAAGGTCCTTTGATGGTGGCAGGCGTCCTAGAACCTGCCTGCTAGCAAAGGACCTTCCCGAAGTTGCTTTTCTGAGCACAGGGAGACAGAAGGGACAAAATACCGTCCGGGTCTACAGGGCCGGGGGCGGGGCAGGCTTATTTCCGGGTCCGGTGACCAACCGGTTCACAAGAACCAGTGCGAACTGACAGCAACCCATCACTGCTAGGAAGCTCAAGTTAATAGAATGCTGTCCTTTACTCTGGATGGATCTTGGAAGGAATGTACAAATTTTGTAATGTAATTGTTATCACACAAGGATTATGATCTTCCCCATATGTGGATCATAAAGCATTTTTCACTTCAATAGATTTCGAGTTCTGATCATTTTTATTGAGTTCTGATGTCTCTACCTGTTCAAATAAAATATTATTCCAGCAAAGTCACTATAAATGTTGTAGTCCTAATTCTCAACATGTGATGGACAAATTTAAAATCAAAATATTTGTCATAAGATATGTTTAGTTGCACCCTTCTTATAGCTGTATTATTTCAAGTAAATATAACTGTAAATTTGTTTTAGATCACCCAGGCTTAGAAAATGTGGTACAGATTGAAAAATTTCAAGAAAAGGCATATATGGAATTACAGGATTATGTAATGAAAGTATATCCGGATGATACCTACAGGTGTGTAGAATCTGAACAAGTATCTATTTCCAGTTTTTAAAATGTTTCTTTTAAAATTTGAGAAACTTCAAGCTTTTTTTTTCTATCTTCACCATGGGGTGATATTGCTAGTCTTACTCTGTTTCATTTTCTTGCAGGAATAACATTAAATGAATAGTAGATATAAATTTAAATTCATATTTGATTTTCCCTTAAAATAATAGGGTGTAAAGTCACAAGCTGTATAAAATCTAGTAAAAAATTAATCCTGCAGAATTGACACACATTTTAAATGTTTATTAGTATAAAAACTATATGGTGCCATTGAAGTGTAAACAAATCAAGAATCTGTAAGTTATTTTGTACAAGTAAATATTTCAAATTTAGTACTACTTGTAAAAATTCTGTCTATTCCAGGCAATATTGTGTTCACTGAACACTGTGAACATTGAACTTTTTTTCCTATAGCACAAAAACTTTATCAACAAATAAGTGTTTAAAATGTAGCATATTCTTTAATCAATTACTATTAATATAACAAAATCTTATAAAATTAAGATTTGGACTGGTTAATTTCCATCCCTAGTAAATAATCCCTGAAGGAAATCTAAATCTCTGTCCTGCTGCATAAGTTAAAAAATAATAATAATTAGAATATTAAAACATTAAAACTGCACAGATTATGATTTTAAAACTATCCTGAAATCAGAACTAAGAGACAGGGGACCTGAATGAAATCTTACCCTATCAACCACTTCCATTGGTGAATGTCCCTCTGGGGGTTCTATGCCAACTGGCAAAGCAAAGGTTTCCAGAAGGCCAAAAGGCTGGGAGCCATTCTCACCTCCAGTAGTAGAGTCTTCCCCAGCGATGGAACCACAGTGGAAAATCCTCTTCTTGAACCCGCCTGCTGGAATTCCTCAGCCTCTTCCCCTGCCATGAGTGGGGCGGGTTAGTCCCATTTGGGAGACACAGCTCCTTGATAGCAATAGCAATAGCAGTTAGACTTATATACCGCTTCATAGGGCTTTCAGCCCTCTCTAAGCGGTTTACAGAGTCAGCATATTGCCCCC